GTCTGCATCCCGCCCCCCGCCCTCGATGCCGGCTGACAAGCTTGTCGCCAGAGAGCATCAGGGGCGGGGGGGGGGCTGCTTTTTCCCTTTCCCTTTTTCTTGGTGATTTCCATGATTCAGAAGTGGCATGCAACGCCTCTTGACAGCAGCGTGGCAGATGCAAACCAAGTGAAATTTAGAAGCATCGGGGCTCCCTTTGAGGGAATACGGCTGCTTCTGCAGAGCCGAGGAGGACTGGAAGGCTGCTTTGAGCTGGGTTGGGAGGAAATGATTGTGGGAAGCACCCTCAGGTGGCAAAAATAGGATGCAGTAGATAGGCAGGGCGGAGTAGCTCCTCGGAAGCCGGGGCAGATGTCTGGGTGTCTTTATCCCTGTGTTTGTCCCTTTATCTGGCGCAGAAAAGGTATTAGTAGGCCTGAGCTGAAAGGAAGGGAGTGCACCTTGCAAAACAATTCGCTCTCCCTGAAATGCCACCCCCTTGCCTTGCATTTCAGTAAAAGATGCGGGGAGGGAGAGCTGGGAGGGAATTATTTCCTAGTCCAGAGGGTGGGCATGCAGCATCTGTCTGCCTTCGACTGGGCACCTGCTTCTAATCCTTCCCATGCTCTGCTGCTGCCTTCGAACTTGACAAGGAAACATTTTTTCTCCCCTCCTATAAAGTAGAGCCCAGTGGGATCATCCCCTGAAGCCGAGGGGTGGGAGCCTGACCCGAGTTGAAAGGAAGGGCTTCTTCACACAGCACTGAGTTAAACCTGGGAATTCCCTTCCACAAGGTGAGGTGGTGGCCACCCATCATCTCCCTGTTTTTGGAAGATGCCCGTTCAGTTTTATCCTGCTCTTTGCTTTGCATATGGTGACCAGCAGTGCAGAATCGCAAAGGTGCCTTGTCCTTTGAGGGAGATCCTCTCCGTCCAGCTGCTGGCGAGCACAGGCTCAGCAAAGGTCCGTTGTGCTGATGAAATCGCATCTCATGCCCTGGCTTGCAGCCCGATCCGTTTGCAGAAAGGGCAAGCTTCAGGCTAGCGCCTCGCACAAAGTGAGGCGAGGGTCCAGCTCAGTATCAGCTCGGAGGCCCTGCATGGTTGGTTGGTTGTTTTACAGGATGGTTGGTAGGTTGGTTTTCTTTTTTCTTAAATGCTGGTTTCTGCTACTGAGACTATTATTTTGCTTAGTGGCTCACATTTTTTCTAGTTGCTTAGGGAACCGCTTGCTTTTTCTCAACAACACACGCTATTTTTTTAACGTGACCTTGCAGAGATGAAACAGGGCAGCTCCGCTTTCTGATTCCCTGCATGCCATCCAGTGGAGAGCGCGGGTATCTCTCCCGTTCCTGTTGGAGCTGCCTGGCCTCGGTAATCACCGATTATCATCAATCTGCTACAGTAGCTTCCCTCAGCCTGGATCCCCCATATAAGTTGGACTGCATCTCCCATCATTCTGAGCAAGCATGGCCAATGGGAGTGGCAGTCCAGCGCCTCTGGACTGGGGAGGACAGTGTCACAACTTAGTGCTCTGGTCATCCACCACAGGTTGCCTATTCCTGTTCTCCATATTCCCCCTCCTTCCTTCCCTCCTTCCTGCCTTCTCTCCCTCTTTTTCTCTCTCACGCCATTGTTTATCACTCCCTCCCTTCCCTCTTTCTCTTTCTATCTCTTTCCCTTTTTGTTTTTCTCTCCTCCCTTTCCTTTCTCTTTTACCTCCATCGCTCCCAAAGCCTTCTATTTCCCAGCATCCCCTAGCCAGGATAGACCCTTTTTTTTGGCACAAACACACACAGGTGAGCAAAAGGTAAGCCCTCAGCTGTTAGCCTTCATCCCCCAGAAGCCCCTTCCGGGTTGGCCCGTGGTCAGGAAGGCTGAGCAGGAGACCCACCTGCTGTCCACTCCTGCTTGAAAGAATAAGCCACGTGGTTCTTGGCAGGGAGGTGCCTTTCATCCACTTCACAAATGACAGAGGCGACCATAGATTCCTCTTCGGCTTTTAGAAGCATTTATGGACAGCATAAATCCTAGCCTGACCAGAAAGAGGTTTCATGGGATGGAGCCTCGATGACATTTCTCGGCTGACATTATGCTCTTGGTTCTTTCATTTTCAAAAAAGGATGAGAGGGAAGGTAGGTTATAACCAAGTGTTCACTTGTAAAGGTTCCTAGTGAAATAAATAACATTTAACCTCCCCTCTAGATGTAGCCAAAGGAAGAGCAAATTAAACATAAAGGCCACTCCATTCCTTTTGTCTGTTAAAGAGACAAGAGATCTTCCAAGGAGAGGAGAGGGGAGAGGAGAGGAGAGGAGAGGAGAGGAGAGGAGCCACCCGGTGTTGTACCTTTTCTATTTATTCTGTAGATTTATACCCCACTTTTCAATGTGAGACTTCAAAGTGGCTTACCAAGTGGCTTTGTAAGCACAAGAGCTGCACCAAGAACCTCACACTCCTGCACTGAACCCGTGGTGCACCAGGCAGTAATTTTGAGCTGACCCCTGCTAAGGCTGAGTTTGGATTCCACCCCTCTCTTTTAAAAGAGGAGCTGCGCTCTGGCCTGTGGACCTGATAGGACCTGCTGGTCTTTCCAACCCAGCCTGCCCAGGAATCCTTGGGCAGAGGTTGCTCTGTGGGTCCCACCCTTTGGAAGAATCCCCGTCATCTCTGTTCTGGGACTGGGGACAGCAGCCGGGGGGGGGGGGGCAGAATCATTGGACTCCTGCACCCTCAAAAACGTTGTGCATTACTTTTCCTTTTCCTCTTGCCAGTGCCTTACCAGCCTTGACTGACCTTCTTGCCTCTTTTGAATTCCATGCCCTTCTTAATTTATAGAAGACTGGTGCAAACAGTTCGCGATATTTTAGACAAAAGTAGCAAGAATCTCAGAGGGGAAAAAATAATTAAGAGGATTTTGAAATTAAGGAAATGGGTTTAGGAGACAAGCAGGTGCTTAATGAGAAGAGCAACAGCTGAGCCTCACAGGAATCCGTTTCCCGAGGTACTTCAGGAAAGGGCTTGACAGTGCCGTGCGCAGCTGGAAGGATGTTGCAATAATTAAAGAAAAATCCCTCCCACAAATTGGGCAGCTGGATCGATTAGGACGGCCCTGGTGGCTAAGAAGTGATTGCACATACTGGCCTTTTTGCTCGGTTTAGGCTTTGTTGCACGATCCAGCGGCACAATCCTCACGTGTGAATCATCTCGGGGTGTCTGTCTAGGCCTTTCCATGAGAGACAAGTGACAAAACCTTGAAGGTCGAAAGGCTGCAAATCACAGTAGACCTACGTGAACAGCGAAATTAAGAAGTGGTTCTAAGCCTCAGGGGTTTGTTTCTGATGGACGCATGCACACTCCAGGTTCCAGATGTCATTGCTAAGTCAGATTGTGGTCATCTAGCAAGTAAGTCATAAATCTGGGCTCAGTTCGCAGGGCTGGTATTAACATTCAGCTTGGAGACGGCTTCTCGTGTCTTCTTACCTGATGCCTTAAGATTATTTTTAGTAGACCTTTCTTTGGGAGCACCACAAAAGCAAGAGCAAGTGGGCAGCTACCGGAAAGAGAGTCTTTCGTGTTGTGGCTCCCCAGTGGTGGAATGAGTTCCCAAACCAGCTTGCCTGTTACCGTCATTCTGCTCCTCCTGGTACCCGGTAAAGCCCTTATTTTTCAGGTGCTTCACTCTTTCCATTTCTGTGCTTTTAGACTTGTTACTGTATTTTAAATCTAGTGTTCCTGATTGGTGGTTTTATTTTGGCTTTTATGTCTATTTCAGGCAACAGCTTAAAACCTTTAGGTAGTTACCTTATGTTTCATCGTGTTGTATTTTAGGGTTTCTGTTGCTGTGAACCACCCAGACAGCTTTGCTTCTTGAGCAGCATGAAAACGTAAACCAGTAAATGAATTAATAAAAAACCCTCCACATTTGGGGTGGAATAGACATTGGCCAGATCCACAGGGAACCATCCCGTTGCCCTGCCCTCAGTGCTCCTCAGCTTCCAAACTCAAGCATCTCATGTCTCCAACAAGGTGCAGTGGTAGGAATCCCCACTTCTGCCTTGCCTCCTGCCCTGATGATGATGATGATGATGATTTAGACAGCTGTTTTTGGCCCTCCAAATAGAGCAGCATGGAGGAAATGTGGGATGAGCCCATCGGGGGGGAAATGGGCCGAGCGGCTCAGTTTTTGGAGTCCCAGCTCGGAGACCCCAGGATCTTGGAGCCAGGACTCCAGATGATCCTTTGCCCGCCCTGCATGACACTGGGAGGCCATAGGATAGCCTAAAGTAGACACTGAATCATCGGGACCTACGCTAGTCATGCCAGTTTTATCCCACTGATGCCAGGAGACCCAATCTTAAGGACGATCGTGTCTGAATCCACCCCACAGTATTTTTTTCAGTGGCTGCAGTTCCGCTCCAGGGTGGTGAGAGCCGGTGTGGGGCGGTGATTGGAGTGCTGGATTGGGGCACTCGGCCACGGACGCTTGCCAGGAGACTTTGGGTGGGTCACCCACTCTTGGCCTGGGGCTGCTGTTGTAAGGACAAAATGGCATTGAGGTGAACTGAATAAGCTGCCTGGGATCCTTGCAAGTGGGAAAAAAGGTGGGATTATAAATGCAGTGTAGTAATAACAATTTACACAGCGGTGCTGAATTGATTGTATGATCACCGGTTATCGCCTTCCTGAATGCAGCGATATAATTGCAGCTATGTTTAAGCTTTAATTGAATTGCCACAGACTGTACTTTTTTGCGCTGCATGAGTCTTATGAAGTTTTTCTCCGTGCCCGTGGGTTCGTGTTTATGGGTATCCATACACAAACACACATGCATACGCACACCTGCCAACCGAGAACAACCTCTGTGCATCTATCAAAGTGGATCTTAGTCTACGAAATCTTGTGCCATAATAAATTTTGATGGTCTTTGAATTTTGTTTTTGCTGGAACAGACTAGGATGGCTACCCCTCCAGAAGCTGGAGTACCTTTTAAGTTCAGCTGATTACTTTCCCTCCTCTTCCAGGCTTTCAATTGCTTTACCAGCCAGAGGTGGTGCGGCTTTATCTCTCCATCCTCACAGAAAGTCAGAACTTCAACACTTTGGAAGCGGCAGCTGGCGCTTTGCAGAACCTCAGTGCTGGAAACTGGACAGTGAGTGGTTTCTGGTCCTCTTTTCCTCATGACGTAGTTCCCCGCTTTTGGTTGCAACAGTTCTTACACTCCATGGGCTTCATGGAATGCTAACAGCTGCTTTGGAAAGAAGACCTGCCCATGTCCTTAATGGTGATTGCTTATGCCTTTACATCAGGGATGGGGAAACAGTTTGTGGGGAGTAAATGACTCCCCTCACGCTTCTGCATGTGCATGAAGAGAAGGGACTTCCTTAGCCAGTTCTTAGAGAAGCTTCAGCAAGTTTCCAGTGGGCTCTGCTTGTGGATTGTCTTCAGAGAGAGGACCAACCTAGCCTCCCTTGGCAGGAAATTCCAGAGTCCGGGAGCTGCCACCGGGAAGACCTTCTCCCATTCTTTTTACATGTATCTCTGAGGACCAGTGCACTGAGAGTAGAGTCCACGGGATGGTCATTGTGGGAGGAAGGATGCTGGTGGACGAGCACCATTAGAGTGACTGAGCACAGCCCCTTATCACTCTGATGACTTTTTTCTTAACAATGCATTAGAAACATGGACCACCAATCTGGGGGAGCCACTTAGATTCCTTGCTTGTTTTCCCTCACCCCGCTTTCTTCCTCGCCAGTGGTCCACGTACATCCGGGCAACCGTGCGAAAGGAGAGGGGGCTGCCAGTCCTTGTAGAGCTCCTCCAGTCGGATTCCGACAAGGTGGTGAGGGCCGTGTCCATCGCTCTGAGGAATCTTTCCATGGACCGTCGCAACAAGGACCTCATTGGTGCGTTCCAAACAGTGCTCTTACCAGTGGAAAGGGTCCACAGAATGAGTCACGGGGGATCCGTTCCAAGGCGTGGGAGACTTCAAGCTTGGCAGGATCTGCTTTGTTTACTTGGACCTGAGAGTTTCCCACCAGGCCGGGTGCCAAAACCATACACTAAGAAGGAAAAACTTCTGGGCCTAGAGGCCTTGCTTGGAAGAGGTCCTTCTACACATCAGGACTCCACTCCTGGCGGTGCCCAAGCTGCCTTCACTGAGTGTGGAAGGCTGGGGAGGCCACTTCTGTTGCTGCTCTTGTCAAACAGGTGGGAGTCAGATCCTTGGCAGATCACCCAGAGATCTGCCAGTAGACCCAGACTGACCTGCACCTGACCTTTGTCTGCAAAGGCCTCCATTGTCCACTTCTGAGGTGGAAAGTCAGCCACCTTCCACAGCACAGAAATGCTCCCTCCCCAGTCACCGCCCCACCTCCTCAATTCGGGTGGCAGGGGCGCCTGGGGAAGGGAATCACTGGGCAGGAAGCCCGTTCAGCGCTGAGCTGATTGCATGCAGCTTCTAGCCAAGTTCACCAAACCCATCAGTATCACCGGCACCACTTTTCTCAAGCACTGAAACAGAAAACCAGCGTTGAGTTGCATCCTTCTAAATGGTAGAAACGATACCTCTTGGGCGTTCCTGCCTTTGTCTCCTGGAGGCATTAAGGTGAAAGATACGCACACCTCGTTCAAGCAGCGGGTGAGATGGAACCAAGCCGTTCTTGCTTCCATCCCTGGACAGCATGTTTGGAGCAAACTGCATCCAGGCCCATAAGCAATTGTTCCTCGGTGCCTCTTTGATGCAGGCCATAAAGAGGTAACATACGAGAGTTACACAATTCACAGTGAAGGATGCAAAGGTTTGTACTTTTTTGCAATGCCTAGAACTACCATTTCTGCAAAACATGCTTGCTTTTGGCAAATGAATTGTCAGGAACTTCTGAGGCAAGGGTCCAGAACTTGTGGACATGCTTAGTCATGGCCTGCTGATCCCTTTCTGTTCTCCCTTAAGGCACACGGAGCTGCCTCGGGGCCTAACTCATGTGACATCAGCAGAATCACATTTCTTTACCCCCGGCCTTCCCCATTTGGGCATAAAACAATCTGTTGTAGCACTGAAAGGGCAAGTACATGTAGGGTGGAGAGGAGAGGAGAAGAGAGGAGAGGAGAGGACGGAACTCAAGCTAAGTGCCATTCTTTTCATTTCCCAAAAGCTTTGTGGGCAATTAGAAGGGCAGCTCTCCCCTCTACCCTAGTGCTGAAGAAACTTCCACTACTGGGAGAAGCCATGAAGAGGAGTGCAGGAGGGCCCTTTGCTGGGGGACACCTCAAACTCAGAGCCACCGTTGACTAGCCTCTTCTCGGCCTACTTCCTTATCATCCATTGCCCCACCAGGACTTTTCTCCAGGATCTAAGATGGTGAATGATGGATCTGGTTGATCTTCCCCATCAGTCCCTTTGGACATTTCAATCAGATCCATATCCCTTGCTTTAGACACGAAGAGGGGAGATAAATAATTAGACTAATTTGCCTACCGTGATCATCTGTAGTTTAGCCCTTACTCAGAAAGGTAGGTAACCTAATGCTCTACTGCTCCTATCAGCCCTGATTGTTGGCTGGGGCTGATGAGTATTGTAGTGCAAAACACCTGCAGGGCACCCTCCAGTACTGCCTCCTCTCTTAGTAGGCCCCCAACTATCTTTGTAAGCTTTCATTCGAACCTTTGGAATCCGAGTTGTTGGGCAACAAACCAGGGCCAGCGGGTGGGTGGGTGGGTGGGTGGGCGGATGGCCCCACAGCTGAAGCTCTCTGGGCAATACAAAGTCCAAGCTTGGGTTATAGCCTCATTTTATTCCTTGAGATTTGACTCATGGGACTGCTTTCTGTTCTCCAGGTAGTTATGCCATGGGTGAACTGGTAAGAAATTTGCCAAGCCGGCAGCAGAGGTCCTCAAAAAACCTGGAGGAGGACACTGTAGTCGCTGTGCTGAACACCATCCATGAAATCATTACCGACAGCTCCGAAAATGCCCGGTCCCTGATCCAAACTCAGGGCATCCAGAAGCTGGTTGCCATCAGCAAGTCGAGGTTAGTTTTTCACAGGGACCAAGAAAGTTAGTCTGAAAACTCCTGCAGAAAGCAAAGCTGCATTTATGGCAGGCCAGATGATCAGTCTACCAAGCTTGGTCCTGTCTCTTGGGCTGAACTGCTCACTGGCAGAGGATGTGAGAGCTTAAGGCAAGGAGTTGCATGAAATTAATCAGAGAGCTGCTGGTGGTCTGCCCTTGGTATACCTGAAAGGTGTCCAAGACATGGTTTAAATAAATGTTTCCACTCTAAGTCAAAAAGCATTTGGAGAAACTGTATTTCTGCTCCAAGCTAGAGCAGAACATCTGGGGCTGCCACGATTCACCTTCCTGAAAGAGGAGAGCAAAATCTCAGTGGTATCGTCTGTGGAATACCATCGCCCCCCCAACACACACACACACACACACACACACACACAAGCCTGCATCTTTCAGACAGGAGGTTGCCATACTTCAAGGGAATGCCATAACGCCATCTCATAAATCAATGCCTTTAATAGGCTGAGTTGACTTGAGAGAGGAGATCAATAGAATAAAACGATGCGTTATCTTGGGACAGATTCCCTTTGCAACCTGCTGTATTCTTCTGCATCAGGCACACATACATCAGGCACCAGCGTTTAAGGAAATCCAGGCATTTATCGGCAAAGGGAGAGATGTTTGCTCTTTTGTAACATTCCATTATATGGCCGGCGAAACAAACTGCCTGGCAAGAGTGGCCATAAAGGTGTGGGCGATCATCTCAAATAGCTCTCGCTTGTGCTGCAAGAATGTTAGGGAGAAAGGCTGCCACCTTTGGGCTAAACCAAAGGCAGGCCGCCTGCATGGTCTCCCATTCCAAAACGTGCTCCTAGTAACAGAAAGTCCGGCACCCTCGTTCCTGCAGCAGCAAGCTCCTCTCTCAGAATGCGTCTTTCTAGTGGCCATTCCAACTGGCTGCACCAGAGGTAACAGCCAAGTGAAGAGGTCCATGGGCTCAGCCTCCGTTCATGTGCACCTTTCCCTTCCAGATCCACCTCCTGAAAAGATGGGGTCACCTGGCCATGTTGTCCCTTGACTGTGTAAAAATAAATGGAAGTCCGGGAGCCTGGATGTGCTTACACTCCTCTCCATGTGTTGTTTCCCATTTTAATCATGTCTCTTTGATTGCAAGTCCTCATTTTAGACTGTAAACCACCCTGAAGGCTTTGGCAGGAAGGTGGGCTAAAATGCAGTGAATTATAGCAAAGGCATACGGGGTGTACTGCAGGGTTTCATGAGAGGCCCCGGGGTCTGGGCACGAGATATCTCCAAACCATATGCCGTTTCTCCATTGATGTCTCCTTTTCCCAGGCAGCAAGATCATCTGCTCCAGATGTTTCACCCCATGAGCTCCTAATAATAAATAAATGCACCATATGATCAAGGTGGTCATGGAGCTGGCTTTTAGAAATTACTACAGGTGGCCATACCTTTTGAGTTGTCTTTATCTTTACAGGTGGACATACCTTTAGAACCAACCGGGTCTCAACACTCTAGCATTTGCTGAATGTGCTAAGCTTACCCGCACTAGTGATGCAGGAACTGAGGCCCACGGGCCCAGTCCACCCTGATCAGCTTGGCGCTTTCCCGTTTTCAGTGTGAGACCGCAAAGTGGCCTACAAAAAGCAGCCCAACACCCATGGTCCACTGGCTTAAAGACCCAAATGCATCTGACTTTTCATGTTTGCTTTTTTGTGTAACCCCTTCCCCTCCCGCAGTCAGTCCTCCAGGGAAACAAAGGCAGCTTCTCACGTTCTTCAGATGACTTGGAGTTACAAAGAACTACGGAGTGTTTTGCAGAAGGACGGATGGAACAAATCTCATTTCCAGGTGAAGCCGATGCAGAGTTCTAACCAAGAATCATAGAGTTAGTAAATGGGCGCTTAGCTTAGGGCTGAATAAGAGGCTTGTCTGGTTATCATTGTGGTGCAAATTCAACTCGGCCAAGCCTACATGGGACTGAAACACAGTTTACAACCGAAATCCATAGATCTCCAAAGTTTGTGATGCAGTTCACAACTCAAATACACACATTTTTTAAAAAATAAGCACAAAATAATGCGTGTGTATAACAATTGCACACACAGGCTTTGTCAGTGTGGAAGGCATGTATATTTGCATAAGTGTACACACATATGCACATTTGGGGAAATTCATAGAGTTTTTGTGCCAATATTAGACAAATAATTCATAATTAATGCAGGATCAGGATGGCATGAACTCAACAGTGGAAAAACAGAAAACCTGAGCAAAACCTCCCTTGCCTAGCTGAGTTTATCTTATTTTGACTTTGCTAAGGTCAATAGTACATATGGACAAGACAGGGAGGTGTTTCATTGGCAGCAAAATAAATAAATACCAAGCATATTAAGGGATCCCAAGGCTTGGGTACCCAGAACGAGTTACGTAAAAGCATGTTTGTGTTTACACTGTTGTGTATTAGGGGTGAAAGAATGCTAACCACCTAATGGGAAGATTGGGGTTAGGGAAGCTGGTTGGATTTCGGAAGGCTAGGAGCACCTGCAGTAGACAATGAAGCACTATTTCATCATAATCTAAACTTTTATACCCGTTTTGCAACATTTAATGAATGTAGAACAGTGCAGTCTTGGTCATACCTATTCAAAATTAGGTCCCACTGAATTCCAAGCCAGCTGACACTAAGTTCTTGAACTCCAGCAGGCAACAACAAACAAGGCCAGCAACAAACGAGAAGGAATTCTCCGCATCCTAAGGGGGAACCGAGGAAAAGTGTAGTGGATTTTTTTACAAATGAATTTTAAAAGGGACAAACCTCCTAGAAATGAAGATTTAGCATGATCAGTAGCCATGGAAGGTTTAGTATTAGTTGGAAAAGAAAAAAAGAGAACTGGGGGTAGGGGGTGTCTATCCTGGAAGCAAACAAGACTGGAAGAAATGCTGCATAGGAATAAGCTGCAAAGAGGCAAGGATTTATTGCAAAATGTGCTGCAGGTCCTCTTTGTCACCTCCCGAAAATGTTGCAACATTACACCCGCCCAAATGACCATTGAGGGGCCCAGATCTTACGGGATGGAACAACCTTCCAGAAATAAATCAGATTAAGAATTAATTTTAGGAACAACGGTACACAACCATTCATTGCCATGGCACAACTTGCAGTACTCGAATCCCAGAAAGAGCTTCACCCACTGGAAAAATGGGGTTCCCCCATGCCGACTTACTGAAACATATCCTCATGCTAAAATTAGGAGTTAGAGCACAGAGACACTTTCTAGGAATGGCGGTTTCATGATAACATTTAAAGGCAGACTTTGCTTTCATTCCGCTCCCCATAAATGGCTGACTCTGGCGTTTTAATTTTCTTTTCTTTTTTAGTCTGCGTCTTCTACTCCTAAGGGATCCAAAGGTACTTCTTGCAAATCTGGCTACGATGACAGCACTCTGCCTCTGGTGGATAAAAGCCAAGGTCTGTGCCCATCCCAGACAGGTCATCTTGGCCAGGGACAACCCACACTGTCTGGCTAATCACAGCATGGGCTGTTGCGCAAGCAACGGGAAAAAGAAAGCGTTTCCCCCCGCAAATTCAGCGGCTGTGGTGCTGGATGTAGTTTGGAGCTCGCATGGGGCTAAAGGATTAAAGATTAAAGAAAATACATTTGTGGTTGTTAGTTGCAAAATCACGTCCGACCCATCACGGCCCCATGGACAACATTCCTCCAGGCCTTCCTGTCCTCCACCATCCCTCGGAGTCCACCTAAGCTCACACTGACTGCCTCAGTGACCCCATCCAGCCACCTCCTCCTCTGCCGTCCCCTCCTTCTTTTGCCCTCAATTGTTCCCAGCAGCAGGCTCTTCTCCAGGGAGTCCTTCCTTCTTACTAGGTGGTCAAAGTATTCGAGTTTCATCTTCAGTATGTGGCCTTCTAAAGAGCAGTCAGGGTTGATCTCCTTTAGGACTGACCGGTTTGATCGCCTTGCGGTCCAAGGGACTCGCAGGAGTCTCCGCCAGCACCACAATTCAAAGGCCTCAATCCTTCAGCACTCAGACTTCCTTATGGTCCAGCTTTCACAGCCATACGTTGCAAATGGAATACATACCGCATGGCCATTGTTCAGTAGCAAAAGGAAACCAGTTCTTAAAAGGCCAACCGTTTAATCAGCATTGCGCCAAGCTTGGCCCTTGGTGCTACATGTGGCGTTCTCTGCTTATGGAGCTACAGAAGCTATTTTGGTTTTCCCATAATGAGACTGCATCCCTAGTTCTGCACTACCAATAAGCTACTAAAAACCATTATACAATATGGCTTTAAGCTTTACAAGTCAGTTCTCCTGTCCTCTAGGCTGGTTTTGTTGGGGGAGTTGAGGGAAGAGGCATGTTCACAGCTGCGTCGTGGCCGAGATGAGATTCGAACCAGGGACTTCTTATTTTACAGCTCATACTTTTAGCAAATTCCAGGGGTGTAATGAGAGGAGTTTTCTCCAAATATCATTTTTGGCACCAAAGTGTCAGCTCTGAGGTTGTCCCACCAAAGGTTCCCTGCATTCCCTTTTTGCTGCCATCACTTACATCTTTGCCATCCTTGCATCATGCCCATCCCACGGATGAAGGGGGCTGGCGGGGGCTGCACCCACTTAAACCAAACAGAGCTCCCCGGGTTTCTGAGCAAGGGCAGGAAGCACTGCCCTCACTTTGAACTGGCTTCATGAAATGCTGCCACACCATTCAGAGTGAGGGCAGTGCTCCTAGCCAGCAGCTTGGATACCCACGAGAACGATGCTTAGCCCTGGCAAATCCATCTCGTATTCCCCTTTCCGCTCCACTGTGCCACCTCTCCCAATCGCCCACCAAAGCAGAAGGACTCTAATGCAATGGGATGTGTTTTGCACAGTTGAAAAAATTGTGCAGTGGGACCTGAGGTCTTTGTGCAGCTGATAATAAGAACATTCATCTTCTTATTTTTTTATGATTTTTATTATTTTTTTCCATTAGAAGAATTCTGAGAGTCTGGGAATCTTCGGGGATGGAGCAGGGGCTGCACTGGATTCTTGTGCGGTAGAAAACGCTGCACCCAAGTTGGCCACATGTTGAAGTTGCAGTGCTGGTGGAGGAGAAGGGCACTTGGGCGCCTCACGGGCAAATGCCCTGCAGTGCGGCAGCTGAAGCGCATCTTGCGCCCTCCACATTTTAACTCGCCAGACTGAACGTTTGCTTCTGTGCCTGTTCCTTCTCCTGCATCCCTTGGCTGCTTCTTAAAGCCTTAGCTGGGCCTCCCGCTTGCACAGACTTACAGTTTCAATTCTTCTCTTCTACAGAAAATGAGAAGACTGGAAGCCGGGATATGATTCCCATGGATGAACTTGGGCCAGGTACCTGTCTGTCTGTCTGTCTGTCTGTCTGTCTGTCTGTCTGTCTGTCAAAAGCTTTTCTAGGCAGTCCACTACAAGCATCTCAGGACAGCTTACAAGAAAAAGAAAAGAAAAAAACCCATAAATATAAAACTAAACAAGGTACTGCATCCAACCTCAACAATAAAACCCAGAATAAAACCAATTTATTTATTTATTTACAGTTTTTATATACTGTCCCTTTACTGGCATCCTGAGACAGTTTACAACAAGCACAAATAAAATAAGATAAAAATGGTACAGCATTCTGTGAAAAACATAAAAACCACAATTAAGACCAACTGACAATTAAAATAATGGGAAAATAAAAAGGGTTATTTTTATTTGATTATCTTTTCTCCTTCTTTCACCCCTGTCCTTTTCCATAGCACACCCCGTCACTTATGAGGGAGCTTTGCTTGTTCATGAGGAGAAGCTCTTTCAAGCATATATGAAGTTGACATTTAAAGCAGAATTTTCCCTTCCCCCCGCAAAAAAAACAATAGTCTTTTGACCACGCAATCCTCGATGAGTCTCTGAGAACTGAGCCCAGCTGAGTATAACAGGGTTTACACAGTCCTAGATCTAGGACTGTGTCCTCTGGATGTGTTGTATTACAACTCCCATCATCCTCAACCTGGTGGAGAATGATGTTCTTAGAGGCCGTTGAGGTGACAGGCAGCTGAAGCTTTCAGACCGAAGACCCCGCGTAGAATGCAGTGCAGTAATCCAGCTTGGAGTTTCCCAGCCAGGCTACCTCTGTTCAGATAAGGATGCAGTTATCAGTCTAAGCTGATTAAAGGTGCTCCTTGCCACCAAGTCCACCCATACCTCCATTTCCAGGAGCACCCAAACTACAATGGGGTGACTCCCTCCAGGTCAGGGTGAGTATCACTCGCCCAGGCAGGTGAGCCATCCATGAACAGACTCTCCCTTTCATCTGGATTTACCAGCATGCCTCCTGCTCAAGCAAATGGTTCCCCATTCAGTCCCCAACATCTCCAGACAGGACTAGGGAAGTCTCCTGTCTGAACCCATGCAGAGGTGCTGCAACTCAGACTCTGGGACAAAGGCGGGTTGTGGTGTGTCAGGTTTCCTCCTCCTCCCTTCCAAATGGCAAACAGTTCTTTGCTTCTTTATTTCTAATGTGCAGCCAGCAAATCATAGCTACCAGAGGATGAGCCACTGAGCTTGAACAGAGCAGTTTGTTGAACCCAAGCTAGAAACTATTTCTGGGAATCCTCCTTTTCAGTAGCCCTTTAAGTGTGCCCCTCTGGAGAAGGGTTAGCCACCTGGTTCTCCGTAGGCCCCCTACCTGGATAGTCCTTCTCTCCTGACACCACATCATGGGGTCAGAGACCAGACCAGTCTCCTCTGTTTCCTCTCCCACATCTCCTCTTGGGACTTCCAAACCTTGCCAGTTCCCAAAGTCTGCTTGGACACCTGGAGACGGTGACCTTGATATAAGCTTTCCTTTCTCCATCATCTCTGTCTCCACTCCTCATTTCCCATCTTCACTGTCTTCATTCCAAGAGTTGGTGTCACCCCGACCCTGTGAAGTGCATCAGAATAACTGCCTCTCCCAGTCCAAACACACTCTCCCCATCCAAGCTGATGATTCAAGCTGATTATTTCTGCGTCCAATTGGTGGGTGAGAGGGGAGAATGACGAGGAACAGGCTGGTCCCGCTCTGCCATGGTCGCCTTGCCTCCACACTCTGGGGGGATAAACATCTGCTCTGTTGAGCCTTCCCAACCCGTGTCCCTGTCCAATGGAGGTAAATCGAGCTTCTCCATGCAGGGAAGCAGCATGAGTGGGAAAGGGTCCTTGCTCCAGAGGCTCACCCTCAATTTGTGGAGGGTGTTCGGTGCATTCCCAGGTGAGCAGATACGGACTTGCCAGGTGAGGAGAGGCCCTGGGAACCAGAATTCCCAGAGAAGCAGAGGGGCTTGTTTCTAGGGCCCCCTCCCCAGCTCTTGAGGCGAACTTCGAGGCTAGTCAGAATTTACAACTGCGGGGAGAGCCAAGTGGCTAGCCTGGCAGGACTCTTGACCCCACGACTTGGTGTTGGAAGAGACAGGACAGCCAACTAGAGGGGTGCTGGACAGAAAAGGGACTTGCCTGCCTCCAAAGAGGACATCCCGTAAGGAGGCACCCCAGGGGTACTCAAAAGAAAAATGCTGGGAAGTCCTTGCTCGATTGGTTTCAACAAACCACTCTATGCATGCTCAGACACACATTCTTGGTTCGTCGTGCTTACTGGACGTGCACTGGAGAATCAAGAGCTTTTGCCAATGAACAGTCTGTCTTTTGGAAGTGTGTGTGGGGGGCGGCACCTGGCTTATGGCACCCGGAGAAGATGGCGGCGGTGTGACAGAGGTAGCCCTCTGTTCTGTGACTGCCCAGTTCTGCATGAGGGTCAGGAGCACAGAATCTCTTCTGGCCCAGGGGCTGGATGCTGTGCTGGAGAACTTGGTGGGGGTTGCACCCCAGCAGTGCTAAGGCAGAAGGGGGCAGGAGAGGCATATGTAGCCACCCTTGGGGGCTCCACATGGAGAAAGGCAGGCTATGCATGCCCCCCCACAACAAGGAGCGGGGCACAAATCCCAGAGATGCTGGCTTATTTTAGCTTGGAGTTCTCTCTACCAGTAATAAGCTTGGGGAATGCAGTTCTGCCTTTCGGAATCAGATGGGGAACTGCAGAAAAGCCTAGAGAATTGAGGATGGACCAGGTGTGTTCATGTGAGGAGCCCCAGAAGGCTGCCTTTGGCTCCTGGGCCTGAAGTCCTGCACCCCTGATTTAATTGTTGCTTATCTGCCTCTGGAATCAAGGGCCTGGAATCTGGAATCAGCAAAGCAGGCAGGCAGGCAGAGCCAATGTTCTCATTTGTGAGAAGGGAGACTGCAATTCTTTAGAAAAACCCAGGAAGCAGAAACTGCAACAAGAGCAAATGAAGAGAGAGAGAGGGAAAAGGAAGAAATCGGGCTTTGCTTTTCATCCAGCCGACATGAATAAGCTGTTGATGTGCTCCTTGCTCCAGGGAAAGCTACAGTAGACCTTCCTCTCAGTGGGAAGGGAGCAGCTTCAAATGGGAACACACGACGGGGTGGCCATGTATTAACCCGTCTGCCGTATAAATCTTGAGAGCAGAAGTTCAATGGTTGGAAGATATAATTAGGTACGATTGAGAGTAAAATGCAGACTGTTGCTGGCTGCGCATTGTGAGCTTAGGAAAGACTTCTGGGGAAGCCTGGAGGGAAATAGGATTCCAAAGAAGCTGTTTCTCTCCAAATGTTGGACTCCAATTTTCAGCCATCCCAGCCAGCACTACAGGGGTGATGGGCTTTGTAGTCCAACACGATCTGGAGGGACTAGACTCATTCCCTGGTATCTCTCTGCTCCAAAACTTGGGGGCACCCACAGCAGGGTCTCCAATAAGCAGCTTAATGATCCAACAGGTCTGTATGGGAACAAGAGGTCCTTCCGATGTCCGTGTCCAGGAATGCTCAGTCAGAATGTCCCTGTAGCTTTAGCCAGAAGATACACTTGCCATGTGGGCTGTGGGGGAAGGCAGAGCACGGATCGTGACAAGCCATATGTTGCACATAACCCAGCAGGGTCTGCCAGAAGCCATACTACCGTTGGTGGGGGCTGAAGACTTGAGGCTTCTCGATAACCAGATTGGATGACCATTTAATAGCTCACTGCCCTTGAAGCTGCAGCAGCTTCTCTTACGGCTCATTTCATTCCACTCCAGATGGCTACTCCACCATCGATCACCGGGACAAGGAGCGGAAATACAAGGCCAATGACAACATGGGGGATGCGTCAGAGAAGGAACCGCTAAAGGTAAGCCGTCACCGCACAGGCATTTTCAGGCTCTTCTTCCCCCACTGCGTCTGCCTCCAGTGAAGGCTGGGGGTGCCAAGGGCAGCAGGAAAGCTGTCCCAGGCTGCAGCGTGAGCTGTCCATGGTCCTGAACCTTGTCCCCAGGCCTGGTCAGCTCCCAGCATAGGAGGAAACAGGGTGTACCAAAGCAGCTTTTCTTACTCTGTTGCCAGGATTGTCAATAGCAGCAGCAAAGAACTCCTGACAGGGCAGGAAGGTTTGCATTATTCTTTGCTAGAGGGATGCAGACTTATCTTTGCTTCTCTGGGCAAGGGAAATGGGACCCTACACTCCCCACCCCTGATCTTCGCAGGGCTGTTTCCTGTGACTTCCCATTGTTGCCAGGCTCCATGAGGCTGGTACATCCTCCTCAGCAGCTCCCCTTCCCCTGCACACACGCCTGCCAATCTTTCAGAGAGATGCTTTCTCAGCTGTCATAATCTTGATACACAGCAAGTGTGTTGCACCAACTCTGGCAGCTGTGCGTCTTTTCCCTTTTGCTGACTACTAATTATTTGGTGGTTTGGTGATCGTCATTCGTTCATTCATTTATCGATGATATTAATTTCTCATTTATCTTCCTCCTCCAAAGAACCTAAGGCAGCTTACCCAATCTTTCTCTTCTCCATGCTCTCCTCACATCAACCTGTGAGAGTCATTGACTAGTCCAAAGCTCCCTGTGAGAACCCAAACCTCCCATGTCCCTGTCCACCACAGCCGGTCGCTTTTGCCCCTTTATTTCTCATTCTAGAAATTCCGTTAGGTGTTCTGTTCCTGAGACTGTACTCTGAATGCTTGATGGGATGAAACTCTGCTAACTTGGAGGAAGATGCACAAAGTAAACTCACGTTCCATTTTGGAGTGTGTAAACACCCAGGATAGTCATCTTCCCCAATATCTCCTGGGATTCTCCAGTGTTCAACTTAGGTGGCTGCTTGTTACATGTTTAATGTTTAACAAGCATGCTGCTAAGTCTTTGTATTTTTCCCTGAATCAGCCATTCTTGATCTGAAAATGCCAAATAGCCGAGCTAGATATCATGTCACATTTGTAAGCTGTATTTATATAGGATGTAAAATTCCTTTCACGTCAGTACACCAAAATGGGGCTCTTAGACACAAATCCATCACACCCTGGCTAAGTCCTAGTTCCAGTTCGTGTTTTCTGTCTTGCTCTCAGGTACCTGACATTAAATTGCAAAATACATGCATGGCACCATCCGCCAACGATGGTGCGTTTTGATACCCAGGTATCTGCATAACAACCATAGTACTGAAAAGATTTCAGGCGCTTCCGAACAGACAACGCTGATGACTAAAACATCGTTACTGTCCTACAGGAACTGCTGTGCGGCTATTGTGCATTTGCTGTGTGTACATCCTGTTGCATTACAACTGCACCAATATACTGATAAACTTTGGTGAGGCTTCTGTGATAGGCTTCCCACATGCTGGCAATAGCAGCTGTGGGAATCCGAAGCAGGACACCCTTCTCAAGGCGACGCGTGTTGATTTCCAGTGCTTGCCCTCCGTTGCAGCAGTCCATTGCTGTGAGAGCCCCATGTTGTGAGTTGTGGTGCGGTTGCATCGATGTATCTGGCACAGTCTGCTTGGAGCTCACAGACGTGTGTCTCAGATTATTGCTGGAGTTGGCAACGAAGCACCCCTTTTGCTGGTTCTCTCAGTCTCTCCTGCCTCTGTATATGCACACTAATGCTTCCTTGCAAGCCTTTTGAATGGGCAATGTTGCTGCCTGCCTGCCTGCCTGCCTGTCTGATTAATCTGCTCTGTTTTGCCTCTCCAACGCCTTGCCCTGTCCGCTGCAGAGCGACATGAGTAGGAAAACCCTTAACAGGAGTAACAGGGCTTCGGTGACTCTGCTGGATGCCTGTGACCCTAAACCCCAGCCTGTTGACTCCTGGGTCTAATTTGCATGCATGGTAGGTCCTTTTTCACAGTAATTGGTGCTGGCGATTAACTTGTCTTGTTTATGCATGAACCTCCGTCTCTGTGTGTTCTCTCCACTGATCTAGTTCTTGGGCAGACAGAAGCAAATGTGGAAAGACGTGGCTCTTGTAAGTCGTGTAGTGTGTGTGTGTGTGTGTGTTTCATTTGACATCTTTGGATAAAATGCTTTAACAACAAAATGCAGGGCGTCCCTTTTGCATAGCACTGGCCGGTTAGGGACAGGTGGGAAGGGTGGCCCACACTCTATCGATGCTGAACTTCTCCTCAAGTCAGGATCTTCCTCTAGGAGTATTTATTTATTTATTTATTTAAGGTATTTGTATGCCGTCCTTTGCAAGAGCATCAGGACAGCTTACACAAAATTCCGAAGTACATAAACAATAAATGGACAACCCACTCTGGCTGCAAATTATAATACGGTAATAAAATTCAATATTAAAACTTATTAAAATATTGATGAAATAAAAAGGTCTTAAACTGGCGCTGAAAAACATATAATGACGGTGCCAGGCGGACCTCTCTAGGGAGCGCATTCCACAGTTGGGGCGCCACCGCAGAGAAGGCCCTCCTCTCCTCCGAGTACGCTGTCTCCTGACCTCTTTCACAGAGGGTTCCCGGAGGAGGGCTTCTGCTGCTGATCTCAGGGGGCGGGAGGGCATATAGGGAAAAAGGCATTCCTTTAGGTATCCTGGTCCCAAGCCGTTTAGGGCTTTATAGGTAATAACCAGCACCTTGAATTTAGCCCGGACTTCGATGGGAAGCCAATGGAGCTGATAGAGGACTGGGGTTATATGAGAATAACGCCCAGTCCCCATCAGCAACCTGGCTGCTCTGTTTTGCACCATCTGAAGTATCCGGACTGTCTTCAAGGGCAGCCCCACGTAAAGTGCGTTACAGACATCCAACCGGGAAGTAACCCATGCGTGTGTTACTGTTGCTAGGCAATCTTCCTCCAGGTAGGGATGCAGCCGATGGGTTAGCCAAGTAGCTCTGGATGGTGCTCAAAGGACCCCTGCGGTGGATGCCGCTTGAACTACTAGGAGACTCAAAGGTGGTATGATTTTGGGGGTTAAAATCTACCAGGTTTTGCTACCAAGGAGGCAGCCCATGAGCCGTGGAGGAAAAACGAGGGTTAACGGGGTGCAGAAAGACACTTGCTTTTAGGTGCACTGAAACTGCTTCGAAGAAAGAGAAGATGCTATGAGGTTGCAGTCAGTGTTGTGAAGCAGGTTGAGGGCCAGGATCAGAGCTAACAACGAGGTCGCTGCTTGAAGAGGGAAAATACGTGGGTAAGTAAAAGAAAATTATGAGGGTAAATAAATACGAGCTCCTTGTTTTATTTTCACAAGCACGAAATGCAAGAGTAAAGAGGACAGCATTGCTTTGTGAGAAGGGAAAACTTATTCTGGTGATGGGAAATTAACCATATGGCCGTTGCTTTGTGGGAGAAAGTAGGAACCAAAATATCCAGGTAAATATGAGGTTGTTGCTCTATGAGGGAAAACGCAAGAAGAAATACCAGGTGTCCCCAAAAATTTGACATTATTTGAAAGGCGAATCTCTTAGGAACTACATGTCCTAGGCAAACGAAATTAAATAGGCTTCATGTTGAACAATAAAAGATTTATTTATCAGAGTTCGAACAAGAGATTCAGAGGGATGTAGGTTTTATAACCGATTTCACAAAGCTTCACAAATGTTCAATATGCGCACCGCCTGTGACACGACACACGTCAAGTCGGTAATCCACCTCCTGCCAAACACGCTGTAGCTTGTCTTGCATACCATTGCGTAACTAACATTAGTTTTTACACATTTTTGGTAAAATTTGAGGTCATTTGAACGAGAATTGGCTATGTTATTAGACTACGAAATGTCCATTTTTGGGGGATACCCTGTATTTGGGGGTAAAACTGAGGCCACTGCCTTATCAGGAAAAGGATCACTCCTGTTGATGGGGGACCCCAATACTTCCACGGGGTCCCCCACAGTTGTAAAAGCTGCCCCCCGGCCCCCTTCACTGCATTAATCACCTTTGGCTCTTCTTTTTTCAGGGCTAAGGTCCAGCCGCTTGTTTTATTATGACGATGACGATTATTTTTTCCTCAACTAAAAGAAGAATCAACACACAGGATCTCATTAACCATCACTGCCATTCAGGGGGCGTGGCGTTTGCATCGGTGGAGCCACATGGGCTGCGGAGTCATGTGAGGGCGGGGCCAGGTGACGGACCATCAGCCAATCCCGGAGCAGCATGCCTTACAGCAGGGACCGTTCTGCTTTTTACGAACCAATCCCATTCCCCCCCCCCCCCCCCCCCCCCCCCCGGCTCACCTTCCTGCAGGACAAGGTGGGAGGAAAGAAAGAAAGCCAAGCTTCCGTCGATCCGATTCGGTTCTTAGCTGACTCTTCTTTGTGGATGGTGCCAAGTTAGGAGATGAAGGTCATGAGATGGGAAAAAGAGAGAGAGAGAGAAAAAGGATTTCAAAATATTCAAAGTATATCTTAGCTATAGTCATTTTAAAAATAGCACTTTTTTTTCTTCCTTTTTTTCTTTTTGAACTGTGAATTTTTAAAGGAAAGAATTAGCAACGGTATATATATATATATATGTGTGTGTGTGTATATATATATATATATTTTGGGTGGCCTATTGTTGAGGTTTTATTGTTTGATCCATGGGAAATGCAGATTTGCTGAGCTGAGTTTGATGGATTTTGAGGAAAGGAGAAAATGGAAAACAAAAGTCTTGGTTGACTGGCTTGGAAAGGTGGAAGCCGAAACGGACGTGAGCTGTATACTCCGCTTGTGAAGTAAACAACATCACACCATACTCTCTCCATTGTCGCCGGTGTACAATTCTTCTGCCCTTTGACTTCTGCAATGGCTCTGTTTATACTTCCCAAACAGCAACGGTTTGTTCAAGGCTTCACTGTCCTCATTCCCCCACCCAAAATAAGGACACAAAAGATTTCAACTCAATATGGTAGACTTTCTCTTTGTTGCTGATGTTTCTCATGAATCCTCCTTGGTTTCCAGCTGTTTGATGTTGGTTTGATGGCAGTTGAATTTCAGCATTGTGGTGGGTTTCTCTCTCTGCCATAGGTAGCATTTACGACTTTGGATTAAGGTGAGATCTTTCCTGCAAGGAAGGTATTCTTTGAGTGCATCAGAAACGTCATTCAAGTCTGTCATTTTTGCTGGTTAAAAAATTAATCTTAATCACCCGTTGCTGGATTCCATTTATGATTTTTGGATATGCTTTTAAGAGACTGCTTCAAAGGGAACCCTATTTTCTTTTTTTTAAAGCCACCTGTGTGCAGATAATTTAGAGTGTAACTCCGTATCCTCTTAGCTGAAAGTAAGCCCCATTGAACTCACTGGGACAATGACTGAGTAACCACGCCCAGGATTGCCCTTTTTAGTCTGTAATTAGGGTTGTAGAGTTGAGAAGCAAGACCATCCTACTTATGTGCAAAGCCTTATCTAAGATCTCTTTGTCCTGTGGGTTCGGGGTAAGATGTTTGCCACTGCTGCATATAACCACATCCCTTTTCCTATAAACTGTACACAGTGATGTGTTATGCTTTAACCACATTAATTCCTTTGGGGTTTGGTCCATTGTAGACAGAAAATGAAAGCAGGAATCTAAATTTCTAATTCAGCTTACACCTGCCTGTTCTCTTGCTTTCTTTTATTTCTGCACTCTTTCTTCTTGGGGTTGCTAAAGTTAGTTGGTTGCCATATTCACTTAAAATGGTGTGATTGGAAAGCACATTTTTAAAAAAATCCAGCAACTTTAATTTTGGGGATCTCAGTGCCTGCTGTTTTGTTTGTAATTTAAAATGAAATGGGGGTGGGAGGGTGGGGAAAGATTAAGATAAAACAAAATTACTGTATTAGTTATAAACATCTAACTTTTTTGTAAAAAAATCAAATCAAAAATCCATTAAAAAGAGGTTGAGGGAGAAAAATAAAGCAAGCATCAAGAGCTTTGTATCTTCTGGAATATAAAGAAAATAAAATTTGACATGAATTACATATATAAATATATATCTATATATTGTTGTGCAGAAAATAGGTTGCCAAAACCATGTAAGTAATGTTTGTAGCAGGAAAGCATTTTGCATTGATTCAGGGAAAGACTGGTGACGGACACTATTTGAATGGTACAGACACAAGTAAATAAATATATGCCATGCACCCCCCTTTTCCTAACCCACCTCGGTCATGTTCCTGCGGTTACCTCTGGGTCTTTGAGAAAACAGAGCACTTGGGAGCAAAGTCAGGATGTGAGGTCCATGGGAAGGAGGTCCAGCTGGCCAAGGAGCTCTGATTGGCCAGAAACCAAACCAACCCCAAGGTAGGTCGATCTGTCTGGATTCTAACTGGAAGCCCCTCTGCGCCCATACTCTCAACGGTGAAGGGATGAAACAGAATCAGATTTTCCTTGCCTCTAACAATGGTGCTCTTTTCATACTTCTACTGTTGATAAGTGGAGACCCTTTTAACTGAGCTGTACATTTTTATACCATCTTTAATGAACTTGTGTAACTGGGGTTTTTGTATACAAAGGGAATCTTTTTGTTCTGTTTTGTTTTTAAAAAACTAAGATTGCCTGCAAGCCGTACCTAATTAAGTCTGCTTTGTAGTTTATTATTAGGCCTGGTGTAAGGAAATGGTCCCGATTGCTCTGGTTTTGGTTGATGCCTTGGTTCTTTAATCTGTGTTCTTTACCAAAGGATTGGTAGTAAAAACAGCACTGGAGACAAAAAATCTCCCATGTCTGCTTCAACAGCTTTACTAACAATTAAATGGCTGCTCTTTTTCACTGACTATCCTGCAGTTCTTCTACCTTCAGACACTTTGGGACAAGAGAAACACTACCTGACGTCTAATTGTACAAACAACCAAGTGCCACGGGGATGGGAGGAAATGGTGGTGAGGCTGCAAAGTGGGGAGATGACCGGCCCTGGAGATGCATGCTCAGATCCAGACGCAGTCAGTAGATCAGAGGAAGCCAACGTGTGGCTTAAGGCTGGCTCTACCCTGAGATGGGGTGAGCTGGTTGCCTCAGGTGGCAGATTGTGCAGGGGTGGCAAGTTGTGGAAAGACACAACAGTATGGATACCGTCTAGGGTGATCAGGGCCCCCTAAGTTACCCTGCTGCCTCTCTGGAACAGAAGTGGCAGGTGGCATTGAAGGATGCAGGTGCCTGGCTGGTTGGTAGGTATCCATAGGTGGAATGATTGCAGGCTTCGGGTGGACCTGCTGTGGATGCTTGGAAAGGAGTGGAAGGGCGTGCTGGATTTGCATGCGTCCAGGGGTGCTGGAGCTCACTGAGAAATGGTCTTGCTAATAGATTGCAAAGGCTGCAGAAACAAGGTGGCTTCAGCCACGACTGTGTAGTCCTCAACCTGCAGAATTAATTTAAGCTGCCACACTGGCCTCTATTTGCGCCCTTGCCTGGGATGACTTGCACCCCCCTCTGCGACCGAAGAGAATGAATTGCAGTTACACAAGCTGTTGAGAATTCCTGGCGTAGTCTTGGAAGTGTGGCAAAGCATAGGAAGTGACTAGTTCTGAGCTGAACCAGTGCACAGCCTGGCACTCTCTTGCAGCCGGGAGAAAATGGCCAGGCTGGCTGAGGACTGAGGGAGTTTAAGCCTCACACATCTGCAGGGTGCCCGGCTGGGGAAGGCTGGGCCACTGTCTGTGCAACGTGTCCCGAAGGCTTGAGCTGGGGTGTTCCCTCATGGTCGTGAGCAGGACCGAGGAGTAACGAGCGCTGCTTGCAGCCGGGACTTGTTCCTGTCCTTCCACTCAGCCGGAGACATTTGCAGGCCTCTGTGGAGCATTCTTTGCCAGGGTCTGGGTTGCTTATCTGCCAGTTTTCATTGAACCCTTGCATTGCCTTGGGATATCTGGAAAGGCCCAGCTCTTTTGGAGGAGAGCAGTAAAATGTCCCTTCATCCATCTGGTTTTCACCAGCTGGCCACTGGCGTTCCATTTCTCTGCTCCAGAAGTTATTGTGGTCTCCCTTTCTCTCTCAGCCATTTAAGTTGATGTGAGACCTGTTGGAAATTCATGTTGCCAGTGAACTTCCTTACTTGGAAGCCAGACCTGGTCTAAAACCCTCCGTGAAAACTTGTCACTGACGTTGCAGTTCTGATCAGAGCCCAGCAACTACAAAATGGCAGCTATTTCAAGATGGATCCAAGCCAACAGGCGGCTGAGGACTCCATCTGCCCTCCAAAGAGGCTCCCCTGTAGCTCAGGAGACAGCGTGCTCTCACTCGGGGCCAAGCAACCAAGCAAGCAGGCCACTTTGATGACGGCTTTCTCAGATGACCTCCCGTCTTGCTGTTCGTTGTGCTTGTAATGACTAGTTCTGTGTGCCCTTCTGGTGTGCCAGAGCTTCTTTTCTCTGCGTCCCACCAACAGGAATGGCTAGTGTGGGACATGCCGACAAAGAGAAACCCTTGGCCATGTGTGCCGAGGACTGTCCTTCAGAGTCCATGCAGCTCCTCCTTCCAGGCTTTGTCCAGTGGTGATCTTATTGTGCTTGTGTGTCACAACAGTGGGCAATTGGTAGATTGTTTTAGCCAATGCCACTGGGCATTGGTCTTCCACCTCTTTCTGTAGGGGGTGAGGAGGAGGGGAAAAAACCCCACAGGCGACACCTGGGGCTCGAACTTGCCTTCCCTGTGGCTTTCAACAGGGCTCTTCCAAATGGCTTCAATGGTCCTTCTTGGAACTTCTGTTCTGTTTTGCCTGGATATGCAAGATAGTTCAACTTACTGTGGCCTCTGCTCTGTAACTCTAATGCACCTCAGTATGGGTACGACTGTGCATATTTGAGTTCCCCTGAACAGTGGAGAGGCGATTCCAGGAGCTGAGCCAAGCCATGGCAGACTTTTGGGTCCTTGGGGTAAGTGAAGGCCTAGAGACCCTTGGGTGTCCTGCTTCCGCTACTGTTCCAGAACATCTGGGTTCTTTCCCACCCATCTGCACCCCAACATAGGGCTTGGCTCTGCACAGGGGTGTGGGATTTAGGCTTTGTATTTACAGGGTAATCAGGTTCTGGAACATGGGTGGGGAACCTGTCTCTGGTGG